GGGGAAAGCAATTTGGGAAGGGATTCAAGGGATCAGCCAAAGCTTTTCTGGCAGCTACTTCCTCAGTCAAACCATTAATTTTTGTTAATCCTTTGCAAAAATCTGGTGATTTGGGAACAAAATTTCACAAGTATTTCAGTACTGCTTTAGGAGGCCAAATCCTATTACTGGATAATGGGACTTTGGACTCCCAGCAGCAGAGATGCTTTGGAAGACATGGGTTTATATGGGGGTTCCTTCTCTTTTCATTATTGGATTAAAACCTACCCAACCTTAATCCCCCACCAGGAACTGTGTTAGCAGGGAGCTATACCAGTCTGGAAACCAACCGGAGCATAAAACCCCAGTTACCGTTCCTGCGGCTGGCGGTCACGCTGTGCTTTCGGGTCGTTACTGTGCCTCTCTGCTGATGGAGCTCGGCTCTGCTGGCTCACGTCGCGTCCCCAGCACTGCCGTGGGGCTGTCGGATGGGGCAGCCTGGCCCAAGATGATGCTGCAGAGCCCCAAGGAGCTCCCTGCCCAGAGACACCCCCAAAAGCTGCCGCCCAGCAGCGCTGGTATTTCAGAGGTGTTTCGGTAGAGGGGAAGAAGCTCTTTTTCAAAAATCAGGTTGTACTTGCGGGAACTAAGATTGGTTTTCATGTGTTTTTCAGGCCACCTGCCCTGAGGACAGCTACAAACAAAACCAGGAAAATTATTTTGAAGAAAGAAACAAAACAGGGGGAAAAAAAGGGGAGAGCACTTAAAGCTGTAGGTGGGAGCTTAATGCCCTGGATTGCAACTCCCTGCCATTGCCCCCCCAGTCCCCCCGTTTTTAATTACAAGCAGTCAAACTGTAAAGACCTTAATGGACATCTTAATTATTGCATTAAAGTTTGAAATGGAAAATTCCTCATTACGTGCCGTGCAGTAGGTCACAGCTGCAATAAATGGCGATATTTTGCTTGTTACGGCAGTGGGTGCCCTTTGCAGAGCGGTCGTGTCTTTGGGGCATGTCCCAGCCCCGGGGAGCTGGCAGGTGGATGTTAGATCAGGTCTCTGTGGCGAGAGCATCTGCTTGTGTTTTCAAGGCGAAAGTATCAGCCAGAAGTGCTCTTTGCTATTTCTTTTCTCCTCTGAGTAGTGCTATTTTTCTCCTGCGTTTTGCTTTCCATCTGCTTGAATGTGTTTATTGATTTCGTGTTATGCAAACTGCAATAAAACGGTATCCTTCTGTGGATCTAGAGCCAGCTATTGAAGATGCCCCGAACAATTTAAATACAAACTGCCCCATCAATTCCAACCCACAGCAGCAATACAAAGTACCTGTGATCAATCAGCCTTTAAGCCCAGTCCCAGACTCCCAGTCCCTTTTGCACCATACCCGTCCCGGCTTGCTCAGGGCAGGCTGGAAAGCTGGGATCCAGCCCAGCAGGCGGGGTACCCCTGGGACCTGGATGGTTTAAGGAAGGTTGCAGAGCTCGTTCTTCTCTCTCAGGCTTTACACAGGTGCAGAATGCCATGAAGAAGAACAGGGCAGGGCTTAAGGTGGGTCTGTGGCTTCTTAGAGCTTTTCAGGTCAAAATAGCTCAAATGTGTACATCAGAAGTTGCCTATACCATTACAAGAGGAGCAAAAGGACAGGAAAAGTTCAGGAAAACTTGCATCCTGCTAAATTTGGCATCGTTTTCATATGAGAAAGTTTCATGTTTTTTTTTTTCTAAGCAGATTGAGGAAAAAATTAGTGGACTCTGCAGTCCTTGAAGATATTTTCTTGATTACATGACCCGACAAGATGAGGTTTTAAAATTCCTTCAGCGGCTATTTCTCCTTCTAAAATGTGCTCCCAAACTTTCGCTCTCCCCACCCTCGCACAGTAACAGTAAAACTGCCAAACGAAGAGGGAAAGTCAAAGCGGGGACAGCAGGTCCGGGGACACCCCGACGCAGGTCCTGATGGCGAGAGCCACCAGCGGCGGGCCAGCCAGGCGCTGCTGCATCCCAGATCTCACAGCTCCCTCTGTTGGCATCTGCTCCAACAGATCAGCCAGGATGCAGAAAAGTTGCCAATGTATATACACATATATATATATATATATGTATTTTTTTTTTAGCACCATCTCCAGGTGGAAGGCGGTCTGTCTGCAGGGGTAGATCCTGCCTAACCGAAGACTTGCTTCGTTTGTGTTATTACTCTAACAACGGATATATGGACCACGTCCCCTGACGCTGCACTGACCACCACTCTGCTGAAGACAGCTATTCAGTCATTTTTCCAAAATAAGGGAGATGTAGCTGGATGTACTCCGAGGGTCGGTGTATGAGTACACGGGAGGATGCTGAGGAAATCTGCCAGCCTGGGTATTCCCCCAGCACAGCCTCCCTGGCCTCTAAGGGGTTAATCACATTAAACACACTTGAGCTCTGTCTGTCCCTTACTGATCACACAAATTAGCACCTCTGCATTCAAAGGGATATCAGATAGTGTGCAAATGATTTGCTGCCTTTATTGTTTTTAGGTCCTTCTGTAACAAAACCTCTCAGACAGCAAGCTTTGGCAAGGCTGCTTAAACAAACAGTACAGCTATGTAAAATGGTTTCAGTGCTCCACCAAAGAGGTATGAACATAATGAAACCTAAGCCTCGAAGTTACTTCAAATATTTAACTATTAGCTGGTTTACAAAGACAGAAAACGTGGAGAGCCCACCAAAGCGTCAGCTGGATTTACAAAGAAGGCACAGCCAGCAACGTTCACTTTTCTTTGAAGATCTGAATTCCAGATTGCCCGGCTTGCAGAGCCAAGGGGTGGCCAAGCTGTCTGGCTCGAACGCGAGTGATGTAAACTCGTCGACTCTTCCACAAGAAAGGGTGCAACCAGCGAAGAGAACCAGAGCTCACTCCCTGTGCTCCCGACCTGCAAAGCTGAACAGCCAGGGAAGATGTCAAAAAAGGACCAAAACACCTTTTTTTCCCTATGCCGCTATAGAAAAGGCCGTGCAAACAGTCTGCTCAGGCTGGACGAGGCTGGCAGCGATGGCTGCGCGACCGCGGGCCTCCTGGGTTACATTTGCTCGGTGTGCCCTCCCCAGTTTACCCGCTGGTTTTACGAGCCCTCCCGGCAGCGCTCGTGTCTCCTGGCTCTGCAGCACGGCCGCACCCCAGGTACAGGGTTGTACCCACGGCAGCAACCAGCCTTTCAGAGAAAAAAAGTGCAGGAGGAGAAAAAAAAATGCTTTCTTCTCTCTCTGGCCCCCCGTCAGGCCACACTGATCCTGTGTTCTCCTGCGAAGACATCAGGCAATTGCTGCTTTATCTCTTCATACCCCCAATAAGTAGCTCAGCTTAGCCCAGTGGCACCCATTAGTGCCTCTGCAATTAAAAGGCTGTCAGTGTTTTCACTGTAAACCCAGCTATTCAGAAACTTCACACGGCTCCAACACATCTTCCAAGAATAAATTTGGCCGAAACAACAGGAGAAGCAGGGGACAATTATTTTTTTTTAAGGACAATGAACCTGAACCTCCAGCTTTCCCGCACGGCGAAGTCCCTTGGGAAGTCTGCTCCCAAGTCTCAGCTGAAGTTTTCTGGTAAGCACGAGAGAAATCAAAGGGAACCTTTCAGGCTGCAAGCAAGGGGTGGGAGGAAAAGCAATGAGTTGCTTTAATACGAAATGTCACATTTAAAATAGATCCTGCAAACCCAGGAACTGGAGGCTGGTAAATCCTTCCCTTCTAGAAATACTGTGGGTTTTGGTGGGAGTACCACTCGAAATAAGCATGCAGAATCAGGCCTCAAGTACACAAAATACAGAATTTGGTACTTAAATTTAAAAATATTTATAAATAACTTAAGACATTCAGGCTCAGAGGCATGTACAGCCGAGTGTTTCCCTCTGACACGGGGAACCGTGGGGATCCACATCCAGTATGGACGGATCCTCAATGGATAAATTTGCTTTAAGCTTAACATAGAAACAAAACCTGCCCATTGTAGGCTCTTTGGAATGTCTCCCCCAGCCCTACGAGAGCGTGCGAAGGACGCGTCAAATCCAGCAGAAAGCATCTGGGAGCAGAGAGCCACAGCCCAGAACGCACCCGTTCATCCCGCACGTTCACAGCGCGCGGCAGAACGGCGCCCGGGGCTTCCTCGGCTGGCGGCACCCCGCGCACCC